TTCTCCTACTCGGTAGATTAAAAAACGATTCGATTCGCAAGCCGATCTCGTCTGTGAACGAAAAAGAAAAAAAAAGAAAAAAAAATCATGAAAAGCAGAGTAGCAAGGAAAGACGATTAAAATCGATTTGAAAAAACGTTTGAAAAAAATGACGAAGAGGCAACAGGTAACAGTTAATGTCTTGTGGCACAATCCTGGGAACATTTCACGTGCATAGTAGCCATAGTAGGTACATCGAAAACCGATCGTTTAACGCGTCACGGCGGCTAAATTTCCTTATACTAAACTCGTCCAGTTTGAAGTTTTTAACCCCTGCTAGTTTCAAGAACGAGGAAAAGAAAAACAAAGAAAAAAAGAAAAAAGGAAACAAGATAAAGGAAATATACTTGGAAACACCATCCAAGTGTGTCGCTCGTGTAAGAGCTTTCCTATAGGCCATTTGATTCGTCGATGACGTTTCCATACGCTTCTCCAATGTCCTCTGTCTCTCTCTCTTGTCAATTGGGCACACGAAAATGATAAATAAAACAGACGCGACAGCTTATTAGCACGTTCGATTATTATCCCATCGACAATTCCTGCCGTCGCTGAACTGTCGCGACGTTTCGTCCGTTCCACGTTTGACACGAATTGGAGGACTTCCGTTACCCTGTCTCCTCGTTGAACAGAGCTTCGACCACGGCTGGCGAAGTATAACGTCCTCGAAGGACACCTCTGTCCTCGTTCCTCAGCCTCTAGGTTTCTTCCTTTTAAAAACTAGAATTCTCGTTCTTGTATGCAATTGTACCACTTCCTCTCTATTTTCGGTTATCTATTTATTTTTTTTCTGAATATGTCAGCAACAACGACAGAGGTATCTCGGGGATCGTTTTCACCTTCCGATGCACGCGTTCCGCACCCATGTATGATCGCGAGTAGGTAAAACTTACGGTTATGGCTGGCCTGGCGGAGAACACGCTTTTTCACCTTCGCCCAGGTCCTTAGCGCGTACAAAGAGGTATTTCTCGTTTCTTCCTTCACCTTTATTTCGTTTGTTCTCCTCCGTTTCATTCACCTTGGAACTATATTTATCTATCGTATCTATGGAAGTGTCCGTTCTACTCGTTCGTTAACACGCCTAGAACGTCGGTTAACGTTAACCTTGCCTCTAACGTGACAGGAGTTCACGAGACACGACATCGCATATCTTTCTCCCTCTTTAAATGACACTAGAGTACACTGACCGAGTTTCGTCTCCATCGACGATCCTTCCACCGATCGTGACCTATCGTTTCTTTTTTTTTTTTCTTTCTTTTCTTTCCTTTTCCCTCTAGTTTTAGTTTGTTTGTTTAGTTTGCTTAAGTAGTGCCTGCCTATTAACGCATTGTATTCGCGCGACCGTAAAATACTTTCCTACCGTACCGTTACAGCCTTCGTTAAGGTAACTTTAGTTGAATCGGCTGGGCATCGTCCTATGGTGGCCTGAGCCGCGTCGGGTTGTGCCATAAATGCGCTGCATTCTGAGCGCCAGTGTCGCTATTGCTCGGAGGCAATTGCTGCTGGTTGAAGTCTTGGACCTGCGATGAAACGCTGTTTGACTGCTGTTGTTGCTGCTGCTGCGATTGTTGTTGTGGTAGTGGTGGCTGTTGTTGTTGTTGTTG